AGAGGGAGATGGGAGGGAGGAAGAGAGAGAGAGAGAGGGGAGGGAGGAAGAGAGAGAGAGAGGGAGGAAGAGAGAGAGAGAGGAAGAGAGGGAGATGGGAGGGAGGAAGAGAGAGAGAGAGAGGGGAGGGAGGAAGAGAGAGAGAGAGGGAGATGGGGAGGGAGAGGGAAAGAGAAGAAGAGAGGGAGAGGGAGAAGGAGAGAGAAGAGAGGGAGAAGGAGAAAGAAGAAGAGAGGGAGAGGGAGGAAGAGAGGGAGAGGGAGAGGAAAAGAGAATGTATCCAACTGTCAGGTCAAAAACAAAAAAAAAAAGGGAGAGGAGAGAAAAACATCTTAGGCATTTAACTGAAATTAAGGCATGATCCACTTTAGAATTATTAAAGTGGTATATAAGAACACATTTTATAAAAATATCACAAAAAACTAATATATCATGCCTGAATGTGCTTCCTTTTGGGTGTCCTTTTCGTGTACCTGATTCTTTTAATCTCAATCAATTTGGATGGCATGTGGTAGAGTAATAATGGGCAGCTTGTTCACAAACAGAAACCTTCTAAGATATATTGAGTGATGTACTAACACACTAAAATCAAGAAAAACACTTCCACAATCACAATGGTATACAACCCTTTTCAACATAGAAACATTATCATTATCACTGATGGCATCTAGCTTCTTTAGATCCTTTTCCCTTTCACTGAAGAACTCAATTACTAACAACACTAAACAACTAGCAACTCAGTATAAATTCTCCTAATGTGATTGATCCTTTATAAACACCAGAAAATGTATACCATCAACTTGTATGACAAAGAGTCCCAATGCTTAAGAGGCTTAACACTCATATCTCAGTCATGGCTGCAGGGCTGGGAAAATGAACATCATGATGGATTCCTGCATTCTTCACATTGTGCTCATGGACAAAGTCAGTGTAGTTTCTATGTGCAGTCTGGGGCAAAGCCCTTGTGTTCCACTGGTTTCCACCACGTTGACAGCAGTCACTGGCAGCAGAGAGCCTGGATGGTTGGGGAGTGGGAGGGGAGCAAAGTTAGTCAATTGGAATAGGAGAAAATGGATGTGTGAGAGGTAATAAAGGAGAAAGGGAATGCGACTAGCATGCACCACTGCTATGAGTAGTTACCAGTATCTACTCCATGCAATGATAACATTCAAGAATAACAAACAGGGGTGGGATCCATGAAGTTACATGTAATAGAGAATTTTAATATGGAAATACATGTAAGTAGTCAGAATTAGTTAAGTGGAATAATTAAAGAAGAAATTTCTTAGAAGGCAAGACACTATCTGTCCCTGATGTTGCTACTAAAATCAAAGGCCAAAATGTTGTTTGGGGTCTAATAAGAAAAACGTATTCATAATGTACTTAATTAAAATATATGAAAAAAGAATTGTCATAAGGACAAAGGCTTATATGGAAAAGGGCAACTGTGAAAATCAGTCCACAAATTAAGTGATGTCACAAAACTGAAACATGGGAAACAAAATGTAGAAAGAGTATTTAAAAAAAAAAAAAAAACTACCCTCAGAGGCCATGTAATTTTATATCAATGTTCCCAATTATCAACAGAGAATCATTGCTCCTTCTATAATTAAAGTTCAAAGGATCACAAAATGAAACTCAACAGGTACAGATAATGTGATAAGATTATGAGCCTCCTCCAAGAAACAGTTAAATAAACATATTAGACACCTTTTATCACAGTGCTATAGAAAAGAACTACAGAACCATAAGAGTGAAATACGCATCCAGGCAATTCCTGGTTAGAACTGATCAGAGTCCTCGAGTAGAAAGAAAACATTTGCAAAGTTTCAGTAAATCAGGCCGGGCGCTGTGGCTCACGCCTGTAATCCTAGCACTCTGGGAGGCCGAGGCGGGCGGATTGCTCAAGGTCGGGAGTTCGAAACCAGCCTGAGCGAGACCCCGTCTCTACTAAAAATAGAAAGAAATTAATTGACCAACTAAAAGTATATATACAAAAAATTAGCCAGGCATGGTGGTGCATGCCTGTAGTCCCAGCTACTTGGGAGGCTGAGGCAGAAGGATCGCTTGAGCCTAGGAGTTTGAGGTTGCTGTGAGCTAGGCTGACGCCACGGCACTCACTCTAGCCTGGGCAACAAAAGTGATACTCTGTCTCAAAAAAAAAAAAAAAAAAGTTTCAGTAAATCAAAGTTTCGTGACATGACAGAAAGGGCAGCACATATTTAAAATAACTACAAAAGAATAAAAAAGCATCCCAAATATAAAAGATGTGTAAAAATAGATTTTTAGGCCATTACTGGTGGTGGCTCACACTAGTAATCCCAGCACTCTGGGAGGCTGAGGCAGGAGAGATGTCTTGAGGCCACCGAGTTCAAGGCTGCAGTGAGCCATGATCACACCACTGAACTCTAGCCTCCAGCCTGGGCAATGAAGGAAGACCCTATCTCTTTAAAAAAAAAGGGGGGGGGATTTTAAAATTAGTGTTATCTTTGTAACTCAACAAAAACATTACTCTTCACCTTTATTCCTTAGGGAAACTGAAAAGAAACTAACTAAAAGGATTTTCTCAGAACTTGGAAGGCTTTTGTTAAAATATAATAAAATTATCTTCTTTCCGTCAATGGAAATAAAATTTGTTCATCAAACCTGACCCATGAAATTCACAACCCTCAAATTTAGGAGCTCTAAAAATTAATGTTCTCAGTCAGTTGTGGTGGCTCATGCTTGTAATCCTCTCGGCCTCTGGGAGGCCAGTAGTTCGAGACCAGCCTGAGCAACCATGCTGAACAAGAGCAAGACCCCCATCTCTACTAAAAGTAGAAAAATTAGCCAGGTGTGGGTTGCGTGCCTATAGTCCCAGCTGCTCAGGAGGCTGAGGCAGGAGGATCTGCTGGAGCCCATGAGTTTGAGGTTGCAGTGAATTATTATGACACCACTGCATCATCATAGTTCTTCCCTTTAGATGCAAAATTCTCTAAATACTATTCAGTTTTGTTTTTATTATTGTTTATAAGTGATTTATGGACTTAAAAACATATGAATTGTTTCTCAAAAAGTGGTACTTTAAAAACTTTAAAATTCTAAGTTACTGATATACCAAATGATCCGTCCATATAATGGTATCATTTAAAAGATTCCAGCAACAAAAAGCTGAATACTTGAACAGGGAGTAGGTTTAGATTATATTGGTTAAAAGTTATCTACCAGAAATAGAATGTTCCATTTTTCTACCCAATTGTTCAAACTTAGGGAGAATTTCCAAATCTTAACAATTTATCACTTTCTAAAGGAGGACTTCATAAAAGGTATTAATAAGAATCAAAGCATGCAGAAGCAAAGAATGAAATAAAGAATGAAATAAAGAACACATTTTAAGTTAAGGCTGGAGAATCCGTTAGCTCCAAGACGTGTCAGCTCTGTATTCAGTTCCATGTCCTTGTTGACATACGCTAGGCTCATTAAGTTTTAGGGATCACTGCTTTACTCCATTTCAGCAAAGGGGGTCTCAGCACAACAACATAAAGGAAGAACACAGCTCCAAATTTTACACTTTTGTTGAAATTCAATACTCTCTAAAGAATGCATCAAAGAAACTGAGTAGTGCCTAACAAACCAAATTAAACAGATTTAAATATGGACCTATTAAAATGGAAAGACTCAATAAAGATGCAGTGTCATGATAACAGGATGCAAACTAATCAGACTCTCATTCCACATTAATATAAAAGGCAAATATATTTTAAAAGTTCCTTTATCGTTGAAGTCTCAATACTATTTTTCCTTGCCACTAGCATTTGATGGTAACATAAATGACATCAAATATAGCTGCTTACTGGAGCTGTGTTTTGGTAAGAAATTGAAGAAACTTTTTTAATGGCTTAATAAAGACTAAAATTTGATATTTAGAAGTTTCACTCTTCACTCAAGTGTATGCCCAGATATGTACGTGCACACACAAAGCACCCCCACCACATACCCACGTACAAAGAAAATAAACAGAAAATGGGGGGATCCCCTTCATTTTATAAACTAATTACAAGTTAACTGGAACTGAAGTAAAAATATGCCCACCATCAAAAGCAAAGCACCTTGCAGTAATTAAGCCAAAATAACAGTGAAAAAATTACATAGCAAAGACTGAAAATAATCACCAACCACTGATGACCCACCACCATGAAGGAAGAACTGGCTGCACAGAAAGCTGACCAAAACCTTGAGATCACCACAGAAACTCAATAGATTCAGGTACTAAACGAACTAAGAGCAAGAGAAAAAGAGAAACATCCTATGAATTATCAAAGTTCATTTCACAGACACAAAACTTGAACATAATGACACATCCAATATGCCTACTCCATCAAATAATTGCCAAGGAACTGCCCCCCCATGCCACATAAATTTATTTGGGAAAGGATGAACCCAATTGATTAACCCCAATAAGCCACAAAGTATCCATATTTGTGTATTTACTATTAAATCTAGAAAAAGACCCTGGAAAACTAAATGAAATCCTTCCTGTCATCAGACTATCTCCTAATCACCAAAATATGGAATGACTCATGCTGTTTTATTGGACTTTGCCCATGTTTATCTTTTGGCTTTATCTTCAGTCTTTACTGAAGAAAACATATCCAACATAGTAGCATTGTGTTGTATGGAATAACAAGGATGGATATATTTTCCTTATGCATCTGGGAAAAGGTTCTACTGACATGCAAGGAAGTCTTTTTAATAGAGAATCACTCACCACTCCCAGACCATGCTAATTACAATAAGGACAGCTGTTTGATATTCTTCATTTAGACAAACACATTCCCTTTTTCATCCACATCCCTTATTTTCCCCATCCCAATATGACTGCTCAATAATATGCTTCTTTTCAGCTCACAAATATGAATAATTTGCTTTCAATCATACTTAAAGTACTTTAAGATTATGGCTTGGAATTTAGAATACCATTAAGTAAGCAATATCTTTTTTGATTTAAGGAATTAACAAACCATTTCCTGTCATGCTGGTCTGTTCCAGGACTCTGTGGAAGATTCTCTATCTCCACCAGCACAGGACCAGAGGATACAGAAGGAATCACAGGCAGAGTAGATCTCACACCCCAAGCCTTTGGACAAAATTGTAAAAATCATCCATTTTGCTTAAATAAAACATCTCTTCACCAACAAATAGAATACTAAAATGGAATATTATCCACATAGTGAACAAATATAATGCAAACAAATGTTTCAATCTTATGTACCATGTTGTAGACAGATAATTTAATGGAATATTAATATTTGATTCATTTTTCTGGATTTATAGGGACAGAAAATGTTTTATAGACTGTTTCACATTTACATTTTAGACAATAAAACAACAGAATTAGGTATTATTGATCACTTAAGGATTAAAGAAAAGGCACAAAACTTGTGCAAGATTACACCATTATGAAAATCCAATTAACAAACACTATTATTTACCATAATTTACTTGTGTTTTCAAAGTTTTATAGTATAGTGCCTCACCTGTTGAGAGCCATTACTCTGGGTTGAGACATTACTGTGAACACTGTAATGGGGAAAAAAATGTATTAAAAAACTACATATAAAATTCTAGGGCTTTGCTTTGTAAAATTATATACACACTAATGAAAGCAGATTTACTTTAAAGACATTAATATTTTGTTTCAAATAAAAAAATAAATCTGCTGGTATCTTAAAACTAAGAATGTCAGATGCCCAGAATACATTTGCTCTTAATATGCAAACATTTTCTTTTCTATAGTCTGTTCATAAGACACTTTCCATATGTGTTTATTTTCACTGTGCTTTAGAGGTATACGTCACAACTAATCGTGTTTAATCATTAGACAATATCTGTCCAAAGATAGATGGCTAAACAAAGAGAGCAGTGTAAATACCCACATAAATCTATCTGATCCATCATTTTTTTTGTATATTCCTACCCTCTCAAGATTTTCCAGTGTAGTTTAGCATTTTATAACTCAAAAGGCCTTAGAAAGTTAGAAATTTCTGTGTGTATCTTCTACAAATGATTTATGTTTTAAAATTTTTAAGTTGTACCCATTCCCTGCCCTAATTAAAAAAAGGTACTTTAAAAAATTCCTTGAAAGAGATTAATCTACAAATTTAATGATAGCACTATGTTTCAGGAAAATGAGATATAGAATTAAATATACTCAATTCCTTATTAGCCACTTATCTTCAAGAATGAGGACAGACTACTTCAGGCATCCCAAGAAAATTTAAAATTTGCCACCCTGATACTGGCAGTGATTTGCTAAGACTTCTCTAAAGCAATACTCAAGAATATTACAGGCTGGGCGTAGTGGCTCACGCCTGTAATCCTAGCATTCTGGGAGGCTGAGGCGGGAGAATCACTCAAGGTCAGGAGTTCGAAACCAGCCTGAGCAAGAGCGAGACCTCATCTCTACTGAAAAAATAGAAAAAAATTAATTGGCCAACTACAAATATATAGAAAAAATTAGCCGGGCATGGTGGCACATGCCTGTAGTCCCAGCTACTGTGAGGCTGAGGCAGAAGGATGGCTTGAACCAAGGAGTTCGAGGTTGCTGTGAGCTAGGCTGACACCACGGTACTCTAGCCTGGGCAACAGAGCAAGACTCTGTCTCAAAAAAAAAAGATTATAGCCAGCCGAGATTTCAATTCTAGTAAAAGGATATAGGTAAAGCTGCTCAAACACAAACTCTGCATACAGCATCCAGAAGCCTTTGGGAGAGTGGAGGAGGAGACTGAGAGCAAAAACAAAGCTACCTGATGATGAAAGGCAACCAATTAAAAAAGAACTTAAGAATAAGAGGCCTTGCTATAAGGCCAGGGGATGAAGAGTGAACCCATTTTATATTCTTTTTTTCAAAAATCAACTATAGCTCAATTACAAGGTGTTTTTATTTTAGACACTCTTGCTCTGTGGCCAGACTAGAGTGCCATGGTGTCAACCTAGCTCAGGGCAACCTCAAACTCCTGGGCTCAGGCAATCCTCCTGCCTCAGCCTCCCAAAGTAGCTAGGACTACAGGCATGTACCACCATGCCCAGCTAACTTTTTCTACTTTTAGTTGCCCAGCTAATTTTTTTTTTTTTTAGTACAGACAGGGTCTTGCTCTTGTTCAAGCTGGTCTCAAACTCCTGAGTTCAAGCAATCCTCCTGCCTCAGTCTCCCAGAGTGCTAGGATTATAGGTGTGAGCCACCACACCCAGCCTCAATTACAAGTTGCGTCACCAGAACTTGCACAACCATCATCTGGGTTCAAAGTTAAGCTGTGTGACTAGCTCTGGTCTCTGTACTTCAGCTTACTGATTTGCATAAGACTATTAACAGGATTAAATAAATTAATATCAGCAAAGTACAAAGAACAGTAATAAAAACTAACAAAATACCTTTTTAAAAAATACTATTTGGTGTAGATCCATTGCCAAGGCAATTGTAAAGAAACTGTCAGGCATAATTTTTTTTTATTAACCATGCTGCTCTTCCCAGAATAAATTATACTTAAGTAACCCATGTTCTTAAATCTTAATGAAATTTCATCCGACCTGCTTGGTACATAAGTTAGACACACTAGTCGGTGGTCCCTTGGTTATTCTCTGAAGCTTTTCCTTTAACTGGAAATAACTGTAGTAAGTGATGAGTAAAAACATGTGTAAGAATAACATGAGGAAGAAAGTGGGTATAGTAAGTATTGTTAATTGAATCATAGCTTGCTTTCAGATAATTTGAAATGGAAAGCATTATTTTCTGATAATTATACATATTCTTCCACTTTCACAGATATGAAAGGATTATTGACAGAATTACTTCTCATTACTGACCTAGTCCAAGCCTCCACTTTTAAAAGACTGTACGCAGTGACCTCTTTTGCTCTTATACCTCTTCGACTCATTTGATTTCCCTCCATTTCTTCTTTTCCTCTTTTGTGTGTTTAAGACTGCCGCTAATCTTGTATAAAAAGTAGTACTAATTGAACTGTCCACTATCCTGTAAAATGTCACTTCTTAAGATCCTTTATATTAGTCAAGACTCATAAGGGAGTAGTTGGGAGACAAAACAGTACAAGGAAAATGACCGACATCAGCCAATTTAAAAACCTGTTACTTAAATAGGCATTTTACAAAACTGTAGAGTACAAGGTCAGAAAGATTTTTAGGTCAAATAGCTGTGCCTTTTCAAACAGTACTGTTTTCCATGGTTCACTGGAACAAAACTGTTCATGTAAACAGAATGGAAGGGCCAGAGTGAAAGGACATAAAACATGCCAGTCCAAGCTCAGGTTCTCCCAAGCACTGCAATGAGTGGTGCTCAATAACCTTTAGGGGAGTTGGGCCCCCATCTACATTTCATTTCTAAAAGCCCATTCTTAAAAAAAAAAAAAAAAAGTATCATTGCTTAAGTATCCCATTTCTGTTGTATTTTTCTGTGCCAAAAGCATCATTAATTAAGGATCACCAACATTTAGCCATTAAAGTTAAATTAATTTTAATTCTAATAAAGACACTATATATTTTTTCATACTTTTAAAAATCAGAAATGTATGTTTCAGAACATCTTAAGGGAGTACCTTTTATTTTGCAATAAAGGCCTTAATTTTTCAACTATATATCACTGCTTGAATACTTTGTTTACATTTCTGCTAACTTCATCAGGTACTCAACTCACTGTAAGATCTAATATGCTGTATCAGCCTCCCTCTTTCAAGATAGCAAGACATGATCCATTAAACAAACAAAATAGTTTTTACAATTCAGAAAACCTCTAACATTTCTTCACTATTTTCTTAAAAGCATAGGCTATAAATAAATCCAAGGAAAATAAAAGCCCAGAAAAGGCACAAAATTTTGTTTTTTACCTAATTAAAATTTCATGATGGAGAGAATTCTTCACTTCCTCCCTGCTCTATTCATTTATTTATTTCTAACAGCCTACAGACAGCTAAAGAAACTTGAAGGGAGTCCTTGTTCAAAAAGCAGAGTGCTTTTGTAGTGAATCACAGCATGGGTTTAATAGCTTACTAAGTGAAAAAAAAATTTTAATAGGACATTTCAAGGCAAGGCTGACCATATTCAGTACCCAAAACAACCAACTTCTTTTGAAGAAGGTCTAGTCATATATCTACCATATAAGAATAAAGACAAATTCAAAAAGAAACTAGATTTGTGGGTGTGGTCTGAATCTGATTACTTAACTGGCATTTCAGGAGACTCTAATACACACCAATTGTTAACAGGCATTAGTATATGAGACTAAATGTTATAATATACACTATTGAAACTAATAGATACAGATGTAGAAACTGAGGGGGAAAAAGCAGAAAAGAAAAAAATTTAAAAAAAACAAAGAAAAAAAACCTAATAGAGTCATCAGAAGTGAGACTTTCAGATTGGTGATTTTAAGACAAAAGCAGATACTCCTCCAGTGAAAACATTTACCTGGTGAAAATTATTTTTAAAAATCATTAAAATCTCGGGAAGCTGTCATACAGGCATATATTAGGGGAGAAATATTTATTCAAGAAAATCTATTAAATCTCATTAAGAGCTAAGCCTGTAGCATCTGACCTACAATTTGTTCCCTTCTCCCCAGCTCAGTGTTGTGGCAGTTCTACTCCTGGTGGGTATAACCAAGAAGGTGAGGCAAACATTCCTGCAGCTCTCTACACTTTAAATCAGCTATTTTAAATATGTTCAACAACTAAGGAAACCACAACTAAAGAAATAAAGTTAGAGAACAATGTCTCACCAAATAGAAAGTATCATTACCCAGAAACTATAGTAAAAAAGAACCAAAGAGAAATTCTGGAATTCGAAAATACAGTAATTGGCAGTGGCTCATGCCTGTAATCCTAGCACTCTGGGAGGCCAAGGGGGACGGGGGGATTGCTCGAGGTCAGGAGTTTGAAACCAGCCTGAGCAAGAGCCAGACCCCTGTCTCTACTATAAATACAAAGAAATAAATTGGCCAACTTATATAGAAAAAATTAGCCGGGCATGGTGGCGCATGCCTGTAGTCCCAGCCACTTGGGAGGCTGAGGCAGTAGGATTGCTTGAGCCCAGTAGTTTGAGGTTGCTGTGAGCTAGGTTGACGCCATGGCACTCACTCTAGCCTGGGCAACAAAGGGAGACTCTGTCTCAAAAAAAAAAAAAAAAATACAGTAACTGGAAAAAATATATATAGTAACTGAATAGAAAAATTCATGAGGGGTAGGGGTAGTGGCTCCATGGCAGATCTGAGCAGGCAAAACAATCAGTAAACTTGAAAGTAAGTTAAGTGAGATTATTTACTATAAGGGATAAAAAAAAAAAAAAGAAAGAAAAAATGAACAGACTCAGAGACCTGTGGGATACCATCAAGTATAGCAATTTACATTTAATGGAAATTCCAGAAGGAGATAAAAAAGAGAACATAAAGAATATCTGAAGAAATAGGTGAAAACTTCCCAAATTTGATGAGAAAGTTATACCATGGAAAAGCAATCACAAGAAAACTGGATTGGCAATACTTATATCAGCAGGCTTTAAGATAAACAAAAAAGTTACTAAAGAGGAGCTTTTTATGATGATAAAAGGAACAGTCCATCAGGATAACATACCAATTATAAACACATGTGTACCTAACAACAATCCCCAACATATATGAAACAAAAATTGAAAGCATTGAAGGGAGGAATATATTAATGAACAACAACAGTTGTAGACTTCAATATCCCACTCTCAATAATGAATAAAACTAGGCAAAAGATGAACACTGAAATAGAAGATATATATTCATTATCAACTAACTACATCTAACAGACATTTAGAGACACCACTCAAAAACAGCAGAAAACACATTTTTAAGTACACATGGACCATTTTCTAGGATGAATCATATGATAGGCCATAAATCAAGTCTCAAGTTTAACAGGATTGATACCATACAAAGTGTGTTCTTTAACCACTGGGAAATAAATTTAGAAAAAACTAAAAGAAAATTTAAGATATTGACAAATATGTAGAAATTTAGCAATACATTCTTAAGTAACTGATAGATCAAAGAAGAAATCACAAGTAAAATTAGAAAATAATTTGGGATGAACAAAAAATAAAAACAATTATTACCATTACAATTATTGAATGTAATAAAGCAGTGCTTGAAAGGAAATTTATAGCTGTAACTATTATGTTAAAAAGGAATGAAGGTCTCAAATAACCTAATCCTCTACCTTAAGTAATAAAAAAAGAGCAAACTAAGCCTAAAGCAATTAGAAGGAAATAATACAGATTAGAGCAAAATTTAATGACATAGAAAGTAGGAAAATCAATGAAAACCAAAAACTGGTTCTATCTGAAAAGGTCAACAAAACTGACAAACTTTTGGATAAGCCAACCAAGAAAAAAACCCAAAAAACACAAAACTCAAATTCCTAAAAATCAGAAAGGAATGAGGGGACATCACCACTGACTTTACATAAAAAAAGAAAAAGAGAATAATATGAACTGTATGCCAAAAAATTAGGTAACTCAGACAAAATGGACAAATTCTAGAGAGACACAAATTCCTAAACTGACTCACTATAGAAAAGAAATTTTGCACAGATCTCTAAGAAATGGAATTAATAATTTTTAAACTTCACAGAGAAAAAGTCCAGTCCAGGTGACTTTAGTGGTAAATTCTACCATACATTTAGAGAATACCAATTCTTTATGAACTCTTCCCAAAAATAAAAAAGGAGGAAACATTTGCTAACTCAATCTGTAAAGCCAGTATCATCCTCATACTAAAACCAAATAAAGTCATAAGAAAACTATAGATCAGTATCTCTGATGAACATAAGATACACAAATCCACAAAAAATACTAGGCAAACCAAATCTAGCAACATATAAGGTAGGATTATACAATTTGACCAAGTGAGATTTATCCCAGGAATAAAATCGTTTATTTGCAAATCAACCTTTGTTCTTTGAGCTCCTTGTATCTGAGGACCATAATTTATTCATCTTTTTATCATCAGTCACTTGCCAATAACAAATGTATAACATTCTCGTTATGAATAGCACATCCACCCACCCATTTTTTATTTCTTTACATTGCTTTATTTTTCTTCATGTCAATTTTATCTGATACTATGTGTTTATTTGTTCCCTGCTATATCCCCAATGACTAGGGACAATTTGACACTTGGATAGGTCTTCAGCAAACATTTGTTTAACTAATGACAGCAACTGCATAAACTCTAAAACACTCTATATAAATTCCTAAGTTCCAAAGACTTTACTCACCTGAGTTCTTCAGGTTTTGTTGTACTTGCTGACAAAAGAAAAGATAACATCTTGTTAGTCTCATCTTACATGACAAATTGCTTCACTATTCATCAAAGTAAAACCTTGAATAATTGCATTATGAACCATGTTTCCCAACCACATATTTAAAAGCTTCATTTCACAGAAATGTTCTGGGGTTCACACCATGAAGTCAATAAAAGCAATTATTTCCATTTTTCAAATAAAGCAGTAAAATGCATATACATCTCTTCCTTTAAAACAGAACCATCAGCCGGGTGTGATGGCTCACACCTGTAATTCTAGCACTCTGGGAGAGACAGGAGGATCACTCAAGGTCAAGAGTTCGAAACCAGCCTTAGCAAGAGCCAGACCCCGTCTCTACTAAAAAATAGAAAGAAATTAATTGGCCAACTAAAAATATATAGAAAAAAATTAAATAGGCATGGTGGCACATGCCTGTAGTTTTAGCTACTTGGGAGGCTGAGGCAGAAGGATTGCTTTAGCCCAGGAGTTTGAGGTTGCTGTGAGCTAGGCTGACGCCATGGCACTCTAGTCCAGGCAACAGAGCCAGACTATGGCTCAAAAAACAAACAAACAAAAAAAAAAACACGGAACCATCCGTAAAGTTCCAGATTGAGCTGACCGATTCTGCATCATCCTCGGTAGAAAAGGAGGTAATTTAGGTTTTAAATCATCACAAATTAAAATGGTTTCATTTATACCTATGTATTATTTAACTTACAGCCACACCAAAAATTATGAATATAAATCAGTACTACCAAGAACAAGGCAGTTGCTGGACAACTGGTGATGGCTCTGACATTGGAAATACTTAAAATTCAATTTGTATCTTAATACAAATTCAGATTTTAAATCAAACACAAGTTTTATCAAAGTAAACAATGCTTTTCCTTATATAATTGATTTTAAACAGGTAACATGAATTTGGAAACATCTATATGTGAGATATTAATGATTAAATTTAAAAAATGTATTTAACAGTATCCTTAGTATTATAATAGAATACGAAATAATTTTTACTTAAAATTTATTTACAAACTATTGGTGTTTACCAAAACAAAACAAAGAAAAAAAAAGAAAGACATTAGAATTTACTTATCATATGACAATGTTTCTAAAAATTCCTAAAGGGATTAAGAAATACCTTACTGTGAATGAGATCTGTAAGTCAAAAAGGGAGAGAAAATATTTCTCCACAGAAACACTAAAACAGTCAATGCAAACAAAAACTAAACACAATCTCAGAATACCATCTAAATTAGAATTAACAAAATTTAATCTCAACTAATGATACAGGCAATTTTCCCTATGTATCTTATGAGATTGATTCTGCCATAAAAGAAATTTAGTTGGCTAGAATAGACCTAAGGAGATTTAGATAACTTCCTCTCAAGTAAGCACCACCAGCACATAATTATTTGTCAAGGAAGAACAGTCCTTTGAAACAGGGTTGCACTGTACCTTTCATTTGTAGAGTTCGTCGAGAATATCGTTTGCTGGGCCTTCTTTCAAAGGATGTTGATCTTCTTGCTTTATTGGTTTTTGTGGTCTGATACTCAGTTTTCCCACTAAAATAAATGAGGCATATCAACAAGAATAAGAAATTTGAAGCCAACTGCAATCAGACACACATATAAAAGTCTACATTCAGGTGGGTTCTCCTTAAAAGAATCATCCTGATCTTTATCCCAAAGGAACAACTACTAATAGTCTTGATGTCTCTTTTACCATACCATTCTTTCACTCTTTAGGCTTTTGTGAAATATGCAACAGATTATACCATTTTTTCCTTAAGCATGCCTACCACCCAAGTACACATTAAATAAGTTTGGGATATGTGTGCTTTTATTACCCTCTTCTACCTCCACCCACATTCCTCAGTACAAAATGTATACTCAAAATAAATGTTTCAATTACTCTTCTAATTGTGATAAACTATACAGAGTAATCTTCCAGAAGTATTTAAGACTATTGACCTGCTCTCCTTGATTTCGTTACTTTCTGTTAAGAAACTGCCTCATTACTTTTTTTTTTAATTCCAAATGCTAGCTGATCATTATTTTTAATATAGGTAGACTAGAAGTTCTCTTACACAGTCGACTTGCTACATTATTGGTACTATCCATTCTTCTTTAAATCATATAAACCAATACCCATGGCATGTTGAAAACTCACAACCAATAATCTACTCTCCAATAAACCAAAACATTTTTTTTTTTTTTTTTTGAGACAGAGTTCCTTTGGTTGCCCAGGCTAGTGTGAGTGCCGTGGCGCCAGCCTACCTAACAGCAACCTCAAACTCCTGGGCTCAAGCAATCCTTCTGCCTCAGCCTCGCAAGTAGCTGGGACTATAGGCATGCACCACCATGCCCGGCTAATTTTTTCTATATACATTAGTTGGCCAATTAATTTCTTTCTATTTATAGTAGAGACGAGGTCTGGCTCTTGCTCAGGCTGATTTCAAACTCCTGACCTGGAGCAATCCGCCCGCCTTGGCCTCCCAGAGTGCTAGGATTACGGCGTGAGCCACCGTGCCTGGCCAAACCAAAACATTTCTAACTCATGACCAACAATGAGTCATGAGAATAACAGAACTTCCGGTTTATAAAGGCCCACAAACATTATCCAGATTAATATCCCATTCAGTGAAAGATATCCTTCTCTTCTATATGGTATCCAGTTGTTGAATAGAGAATCCATAAAACTCTTGTTAAATGGATTTAAACTGGGAGTTAGTTAATATACAAAGCAAATGTCAAGAGGCATATAAAATCCATTATACAATTATCACATTTTCCCATCTATTCAAGAAATTAGAACCAATAATAATACCACTTTTTTCTTTTGGCAAATGGAAGACTTTGGTAAACCACCTTATTTCTTCAAGCCTTAGTTCCTACATTTGTAAAATGAGGATTGGCCTAAATTTTTTGGCCTGTATGGAAGAATGAAAGACAACAGAAAGCAGCTATTAAAAAGTAACCTGTATCTAAATCGTGATCCTAGTCGAATAAATCCCGATCGATGAGAACTCTTTTGGACAGGGCCTCGAAGGCGGAAGAAGGCATGATGCTCCACAGCACATTTCCACAAATGTTTGCAAGCTTTTGGATGATCCAGTCTAAAGACAAATGTATGCTCCTGTTCTTTGCCCTAAAAAAAGAAAAAAATGTAAGAAGAGGTGATTATTAGGTCAGTCCTATTTTCCATTTCTGAGATACAAAAACAACCACAGCAATAACCAAGAAGCTTTATTATTTAATAAATTATTAAATAAACTGTTATTATATAAATTGTTTAATAAAGCACCTAGTTTGCTCCCTCAAACTCAGACACTCTTTATAATATCTACATAAAAAGGCAGAGTTGGCCAGGCGTGGTGGCTCACGCCTGTAATCCTAGCACTCTGGGAGGCCGGGCGGATTGCTTGAGGTCAGGAATTAGAAACCACCCTGAGCGAGATCCCATCTCTACTAAAAAATAGAAAGAAATTAATTGACCAACTAAAAATATATATACAAAAAATTAGCTGGGCATGGTGGCGCATGCCTGTAGTCCCAGCTACTTGGGAGGCTGAGGCAGGAGGATCACTTGAGCCCCGGAGATTGAGGTTGCTGTGAGCTAGGCTGACGCCACGGCACTCACTCTAGCCTGGGCAACAAAGCGAGACTCTGTCACAAAAAAAAAAAAAAAAGGCAGAGTTGAACTCAAGCTGTCCATTTTCTCAGCCAATGTAAAATTATTCCTAAGAGTGTCCCCTCTACTTACATGAGGCTTCATCTGCCATTCTTTGGGATAACTGTTTAATTTAAAGGATCATATAAGATCTGGCAATATATAATAACGGACTTAAAAATGTTCACTTTTTTTCCTACTGACCACACTCCCAGGAGTCTAATTATCATAGTGAACATTCACAGGCACTTTAAGAATTTCACATGATTTACCCCCAAAAGCAGATGAACTATCATTAGCCTCATTCATACATAAGGAAACAGAGACTCAAAGAAATTAAGCCCAAGGTCACAAAGCTATGGAGAGAGGAAACTGGAAATGAATCCAGGCAGTCTAGCCCCAGAACCTACACTTGTAACCAAGTTCTCCTACCTCTAGGGAAAATGATTTTTTAAACACCAGAAGTTATAAGCAAAAGACTTTCTTCACAGTCTCATTTGTATTAGTAAAAACTGGCACAAATCCTATATGTCCAAAAAAAGAGAAATGGTCAAGTGAATAATAGTATATTTAAAAACTATACAGAGAGATAAATGAATCGAAGATAATGAATGAGCTATTATTTACTCATATTACAGACTACCATATATAGGTTTAAATGAATGAATTAGAATATATGGGTATGCATGTTTTGATAAAATAAGCTGAAAATATATAATTTATGAAAATTCTTAAAACAATTCTACCATTTTTTATGATGTATTTACATTTGTAATAAGTTATAAAATATATATGAGAATAGTAACATTAAAAAATGGTGGCCAGCTAAGGGGAAGAAGAGAGGTAGGTAGTTAGGGTGTTAGACCTTAGTTGTATTATTTATTCATATATATAATTTTACTTATCTATTTCTAAAAGATCTGAAAATGTAAAACTGTTACCCTAGATCATGAATAAAATGTATGTTTTATAATTTTATGTACTTTTCGGTTTATTCAAAGACACTGTTAATGGAGTTGAGATGGATAATTACCCTGATTTGATCACTGCGTATTGTATAAATGTATCAAAATATCACTCTGTATACAATAAACATGCACAATTATGCGTCAACTAACAATAAACATTGATGAGGGTCGGGGTGGTGGGGAGGGGGAAGGCAAAGGCAAGCCAAGGAGAAGATATTTGCAATACTACCGGGTAGTATCTGACAAAGAATCAATATCCAGAACATGTAAAGAATTTTTTCAATAAAGAAAAGGCACATGACCTAATAGAAAGATCAACAAAAGACTTGAACAGGTACTTCATATGCCAGAAGATCCAAATATCCAATAAATACATAAATAAGTGCTAAACCAAAGTAGTTATCAGGTGAATGCAAATGAAAACCATAAAATGATTCCATTACCCCCCAGAATGGCTAAAATAAAAAAGACAGAATACCAAACATTAGCAAAAAATAAATTTAAAAAACACAAAAACTAATGAAACTCTCATACATTGCTGGAGGGACTATAAACTTGTATAAATACTTTGGAAAGCAGTTTGGCAGTATCTACAAAAGTGTAATACACACATACCTTAGTTGTTAAGAACAGCTTTCTTTTTAACAACTGAAAACTGAAAACAACTCAAATGTCCAGCAACAGGAGAATAAATAAATAGTTGTGGTCCATCCACAAAATGGAATAGCATATAACAATAAGAATGAGCCAACTACAACTACTAATCTGGGTATTGGTCATATAAGTGTATGTGAAAATTCAACAAGCTGTATATCTAATTGTACATTTTTCTGAATAAATGCTATACTTCAACAAAATTTACCAATAAAAACTAAACATAGATAAAAACAATGAGAAAACATATAATTTCAAAATGGGGAAAACTTTCCAATGAAACAAAACCCAGCTATGGAACAAAATTCAGAAGGCATAAAAGATTGGCAGTTCATCTACATAAAAATTTTAAAGTACATGGCAAAACCAACCAGAAACAATATTAAAAAACAATTAGACAAAATATTTATAATTTCTATCACAAAGGGCTAAATCTGTAAGAAAAAAAGGTCAACAACACAAAAGAAAAATGGGCAAACAATGTGAATAGACAGCTGAGAGAAAATATAAATGACTCAAATGTGTGCAAACAGGTCAGTATCACTCATAGTAACAGAAATAAAACTAAACCTATAATGAAATCCCATTTTTCACTTTTCATATAAAAACGTTTGATAACTCCCTCTGAAGAAACACTTTAGTACACTGATAATAGTACAACTTGAAACACTTTAGTACACTGATAATAGTACAACTTGATAGGATATCTCTATCAGGACAAACGCACATAACCATTTGAGCCAGCAAATCCACCTAGGAAACTATCCTATAGATACAGCTGGCAATGTACAAATTAGTATATACATAGTGAATAAATGTCAATTAGTTGAGAACTGATTATATAAACTAGGGTACATCGATATATTATAACACTACACAGTTTCAGTTTAATTTTTTTAAATTATGTACTGATATGGAAGAGATTCCAAGCTATAATGTAAAGTTAAAGTGGGCAGAGAACAGTGCATAATACAAAAATGCTTCACGCCTATAATCCTAGCACTCTGGGAGGGTGAGGCCGGCAGATCGTTTGAGCTCAGGAGTTCAAGACCAGCCTGAGCAAGAGAGAGACCCTGTCTCTACCAAAAACAGAAAAAATTAGCTGGGCATGGTGGCACATGCCTGTAGTCCCAGCTACTCTACTCAGGAGGCTGAGGCAGGAGGATCGCTTGAGCCCAGGAGTTTAAGGTTGCTGTGAGCAAGGCTGATGCCATGGTACTCTAGCACAGGCAACAGACCGAGACTCTGTCTCAAAAAAAGAACTGATATATACATCTGCTTATACATAACACCTTTGAAAAGATACACAAAAGCTAATACTGCATTTCATCAAACCTAAAATGCCATCAGTTGTAAGACGCACTATTATTTTATGCCCCAATAGGAACAGGTATCGCCAATTAAATCATGGCCATATTTTTCTTATTGGGTAGAATTGTTTTTCTTCCTCAAAGACTGCTTTTAGATTTAGATTCAAATATCATTTTAATCACATCTACGCTTACATAAAAAGGAAATGGTAAAATAACCTATTTTCAAAGAGGCAGATTCAGTATCTGTCTATTCTGAATCGTTTTCAACTCATTTGTTGATATAATGATCATCTTCTGTGTCATCAAGAGATTTCTTTTAAAATACTTCATTATCATATCTATGATTTTCTTGCAACCTGTGTAGTAGGGCAATCCTCTGCACATATCTCAGTATTAAGACTTACAGCTTTCAAAACATATCATTGCTTCATCTACTTTTAAACATCTTTTTTCTTAGATTCTGCTAAATAGTGCTTCTCACACTTCATCGTACACAAAAATCTTGATCGTTTAATATGCTCTTTTCTGATTCAGGAGTTTGGGGTGGAGGGTGGAGTGGGTAAGACCAAATACTGTGAATAGTAAAGGAGGATGTTGCTTTGCAAGGAAATATAAAATTGAGGTCATTCTCCAACAATGTGTATTTATTTATTTCACTGATGAAAAAATGTATGTAACACAGATCTATTTGACTGTGTTTTCTGCAGTCAGAATAAATGACAAGTTTTCATTTCAATGCTGAATCACAGTGTCACCTTTCTGAAGCCATTTTAAACAGCAACTAAACTTAACACCTGTGTTTACTAACAATGACTATAACTCAGCTAATTTTGCTATGACAAGTTCCCACACATGAAGGCAATGGTAACTACGCCTTGTAATATTCTGAAATTAAAAAAAATAAATAAATAAAAATTAAAAAAAACCCAACAAACTATTGCCTGCCTGACAATTTTAAGGCACTATCTATCTAACATGCATCCCAGTTTCTTTTAGAGATGTTAAAAAGTTTTTAAAACATGTGGCTTAAAATTGTTGGAATAATTAACTTTTGGCCCAGCACAGTGGCTCACGCCTGTAATCCTAGCACTCTGAGAGGCCGAGGTGGTCAAATCGCTCAAGGTCAGGAGTTCGAAACCAGCCTGAGCAAGAGCCAGACCCCGTCTCTACTAAAAAAAAAAAAAAAAGAAATTAATTGGCCAACTAAAAATATATAGAAAAAAATTAGCTGGGCATGGTGGCATATGCCTGTCTGTAGTCCCAGCTACTCGGGAGGCTGAGGCAGGAGGATCACTTGAGCCTGGGAGTTTGAGGTTGCTGTGAGCTAGGCTGATGCCACGTAGCTGGGGCAACAAGGAGACTCTGTCTCAAAAAAAAAAAAAATAAATAAATAAATAATTAACTTTTGTGACTTATATAGAAGGAAAATAGGTGGCTGGAATAGAAGATACATTTTTTCCCTGTATAACTTCCCTGCATTTTCAATTATTAAATGTATCAAATAAATGTATACTAGGTTATTAAAACCTATGCAGAAATATTAACTAATTCAACTGAGCTGCTTTTAGGCTTTTAAAAAATGCATAGCTGACACTCATATACATTAAACAATGATAGTATTTTTTAACATCTGAAATGAGGAGAACAGGTCAAATTATGTTATGAATGACACACTTTTTTTGAGATAGGATTTCCCTCTGTCACCCAGCCTAAAGTGTACTGACATGATCATAACTCACTGTAACCTCAAACTCCTGGGCTCAAGCGATCCTCCCACCTCATACTCCCATGAAGTACTACAGGTGCATGCTATCACACACAGCTTATTTTTTTATTTTTTGTAGACAGGGTTCTTGCTATGTTGCCCAGGCTGGTCTTGAACTCCTGGCCTCAAGCAATCCTTCCACCTCAGCCCCTCAAAGTGCTGGGATTACAGGCATGAGTCACTGCTCCTAGCCCACCAAAACATACTTCGATTCTGACACTGATGCTTAACGTCAATGATCTTCAGGGCAGAAATCAAAAAAGCTAATTTATCTTTCTCTCTCTAGTCTGCAGTGAGTAAATGCATGATTTTTGACAAAAAAAACCTTCAGAACAAAACAAAACAAAAACTACTAAGAGCATACCTTCCCTGATAAATAAAAAGACAACCCTGTACATTCTTAAACTAAATAAACTACAAATTTAAAATAGCACCTAACAAATCTGTACTGGGAAGCCATTTATCTCCCATTCCCTGTTCTTTATAAGAAAAAACAAACAAGGGAGGAGATCAAAATCATCTAAGGCTGAAATCCCCCTGTAATAATAACGCATCCAGCTATTTGAAATCTATGTAAACTTTTCTATTCGCAAGTCTTGTCATATTTTGAAAAACCCAGAATACTATTGTGCCAAACATTCGCTTAGTATATAAAGTTCTTCCGACATCAATAATTACTTTTCTTGACTACCTACTGTTTTAGTGTATGAAATGATACCATGAATATACTTGCCCACGTATCTTTGCAGACTTGTCTATTACATACTTATTTTACTGCCTATTGAACTATTACAATAGCTTACCTACTTTTTAGACACTCCTACTACAGTAAAATTTCCTTGAGAATATGAAGTATTTCTTTATCATCCTGATAAAAAAGCCTAGCACCATATCAAGGACATAAGCACTCAGTATCTCTAATTTCATATATGAACAATTTCACAGTCAAAACAGAACACCAGATCTACTGATTGTAAAGCAGTGCTTCCTGTTAAGCTGCTATGTGACACAACCAAGCTTCTGATAAACTCTGTTCTTTTTTACTGATATTGACCAAAATCTCCTGAACTTTCATATATAAACCAGAAGGCCATTTATCAACAGAGGTGTTCTTATTAGAGAAAAGTCACCAGAGTTCAATGTCAACATTCAAAAATTTGAAAAAAAAATTTATTCTGAGTATATAGGAACCTTTAACTTAAATTTAATTTCCACAGTTTTATTTTTTTCTCAAGTTATGATGATATTTAACTAGGTCCACATATATCCAAATCAACCATAGCAAATCAACTGAGGGCTACTATAATGATGCACAGTAATACACACCTAATCTCAGTTTTTCATTTATTCTGAAATTTACACTGATATTTCTTATAGCACATTTATGGGACCAATAGAGAAGAACATGAACATAAAATGCCAAAAGAAATACAAGAACAAACATGATCAAATGTTAACATCTATGCTTATTAAAAGAAGATCAAATTTAAAACACTAAGATTCCATTAGAAGATAAAAATACCAGTACTGGCAAAGTTTCAGTCAAACACACATACTTTTAGCTTCACCTATTGCTTGCCATACTTCACACTGGTACAACCAAAATGAATTACTATTACTACTAATAATAATGAGGAGGAGGAAAAGGGGAATTATAAATTATAAATAGACCAGAAACATGTAAAAATATGTCTGATATAATAAAAGCTGGAAGAGAGATATAGGAAGCATTTTAAAATGGGAGAAGACAGCAATGAAATTACCTAAGACAGGAAAATTAAAGAACTAGATTTTTAGAAATCTTTCCAACATTTTATTATAAAAATGCTTAAACATACAGGAAGACCAAATATCCGTATTTATAGTATCTAGATTCAACAACTGTTAACATTATCTATATCTGCACGCATGTGTTAAATTTATTAGTTTGCATACAGTCAAATTCTTGCCTTTCCTAGAATGTCATATAACCGGAATCATTCAGTACATAACCTTTTGAGGCTGGCTTCTTTCACCAAACCTTAAAGCGTCTGAGATGCATTCACACATGTATCAATTAAAAACTACATTTTAACTGATAAAAAGGTAATCTCTAGTTCAAAAGTCTTTTTAAAAGAATATTAGGTAGATCTTTTTGATTAATCTTTTTTATCAGTTACTACAGAGATAAAGTCACTTAAATGTAATTTTTTATATATCTCAGATATATTTATTGTCAATGAAGAAACAAGAATAGACTTTTATAGTATCTTAATCTTAGGGGCAGAAAACTATATGTTTAGGATTGTGTGACCTGAGTCAGGAAATCATTTAAAGCATTAATTATACTAAGTTTCTGTTCTATGGCTCTTTAAATTAATGAAGTACATTCCCCCTTTTAAAGATATAAGTTACCACATAACATAATCATTGTTAAATAAGCAAGGCAATATAATTCCTACCTGATCATCATCTTCTACAACCACCAGGGTTAATCTGTTCTTCTTGAAATCCAATCTGGTTATCTTAGGCCTACAATAATATGAGAGTAACAGCCAGATTACAAAGAAATGTCCTCTAAATAAAAAAACAATTTGTTTTTACTTCAAATACACATTTAATCATCTAACTTCTGAACTGAAAATTGACAGGAGGGTAAATGTAACTTGCACTGCCCACCAAAAACCCCTCTAATCTAAAAGACAATATAACAGAAAAAACACAGTATACATTTCAAAAGCAATACCTCTGACTAAGTTGAGACTGCACATAGATCAGATATTAAAAATATTAAGGAAAAAAGAAAATGAAGAAAGCTACGTATTTCATAGGCCCCAAGTACGAAGAGATTGGTTAGGCCTAGGTAAAGTTGTTTCAGTGTTAAAGTAGCAGCACAGGAACTGGATACAGGAAAGTTCACAAAGCTTTAAAGAAAGCATAAAGAAAAACACAGATTATGTTCTTCAACTCTACAGCAATTCTAGTTTGAGGAAATATATCTTAATAAATTTTTTTTAAACCTCATTTTATGGTCCACTTTCCAACTCTATCTTCCCACTTGTACTAAAATTCTAAACCACCTACTACATTTGAACTCTATACTTTCATAAATTGTGAATGTCAAAATATGACACTCCCACTGATTAATCTTTAATATAACTTATATAAAATAGCTGTGAAACATAATTTGTTTATATGAGCTTTACTAAATTAAGTAAATAAACCAGCAAATAAATATTAGGAAGAGGAAGAAAGGTGGAGATAGCACTTATCTATGCAACAAATACTTATCTATGCAATACTAGATAAGTGCAATCTATGCACTTATCTATGCAACAAATACTTACACAATACCTACTACATGCCAGGTACCCTTCTAAGTGTTTTACCAGTATTAATTCAATTCTCACAACAACCTTATGAAGAGGTACAGAAGGTGCTTTCTTTACCTCTCTACCTACAGAATTCTCAGGCCTGGAAGGAAGCTGAAAGTATCAAGGAATTAACACCCAAGAACTGGGAAACAAATGCCCCAGCTTCCTCACTCATCAAGGGACAACTGCAAAGGTGTTCTACTCAAATCTATCAGAGATTCTCTAGCCAGGGACACCTGGATGCAAAAATAAATGAAACATTGTCTTCAACTTTTTGAGGGAAATACTTTTCAACCTAAAATTCTATTCTCAGCCTAATTCTCAAGGAGTAAGAGAAGAATAAACCATTTTAAGGTAACCAAGGATTTGAACAATTTATCTCCCTTCTGTTAGGCAGTTACTTCAGGATATATATCAGGAGGGGAAAAAAAAAAAAAACAAAAAGAAAAAATCATGGGAAGTCAACATAGGATGCTCACTGAGGTAAACTGAAGTCCCAAGATAAGAGCTGGACAGCATCCTGAAGAGCAAACAGTTCCAACAGGAACAGAATAACTATTTAACACAACCCTTGGAAACTTGAAAGAACTTAAGGAGAAGACAAAGGCAGGTAATTTAAAGGGATGTGTGGGGTGTGTGACATGAGGAGCCAAGAGCTCTAAAAAAACAAAACGCTACACAGAAAGGAAATATAATACCAGTTGTGAGTTCAAGGATTTCAAGGCTGATCAAGAAAAAGCAGTGTTGCACAATGGGGGTTTACTGAACAGTGTTTGGACTGGGGTGCATGACAGGTGAGGTCATAGCAGGTGACTCTCTAGAGATAGCAGCTGCACGGCCAAAACCCAAAAGGGTAAGAAGGCAAAGGAACCTCCCGGAGAGAGGGGAATCTAAGAAGGTGCTATAAGTGTGTAGTGGATGGCATTCAGCAGCAAATGGGGAGTATCTGGGAAAGAGCTCAGAAAGGCAGCAATGGTTTGGGATCTTTCATACCTACAGAGTTTGTGTTATCTATGGTTTCACGGGATATATAAAGCAGACAGGGTCTAAATAGCTAAAAATATGCACATTAGGCTATATTTAAAGCAAATGGATAGGTAAGAATTTGAATTTAATGGCAGACGCTTTGGGCTAACAGTACTGGCCTGTTGTGAGATATAAACAGCTTAGGGCAGAATTATATATCTGTAACACTAGTACTCACCTAAGCTCTGGACTAACTCTGACATAGATGTAATAATGCAAACACTACTCCTGACTCTCAGCTTTTAAACACTAGACAAAACCCAAAGAACTAAATGATGGTTATGAAATCCAAGTAAAATCTATCCTTGATGTAAAAGTAAAAGGTAAATGTAATTTAAAAGTACAGATGATAAAAGTTGAAACAGAAAGAGGAGCACAGCTTAAAAGGAAGGATAGAAGTAATAATATCTTCCTCTCACACCTAGGGAGTAAAGAGGCTGTGGGATAAGAAATATTGAAAACAGTGACATAACTTCAGGAAGGAAGGGAATGTCCATATGAACATTTAATATATAAACATAATGTCTCTCACATAATAGGCATAGGTAAAAAAAGAAAAAACAAGAAGAAAAGGCATTAAATAATTAGCAAAATAAGAAAAAAAATAAACTGTTTATAATCAGACATATTTGGATATATCTTGAAACTAAGGGAAAATATAACTTGAAGAATTTTTTTAAATTGGCTCTGGAGAGTGGGAATAAGGATGAGTAAAAGTGTGACAGGAGAAAGATGCTTTTCATTTATAAGCTTTTCAAAACTATTTGATTTCCAAACTCTAGTTTATGTACTAACTTGATATAAATGATTTCACTCATTAAAAAAAACAACACAACAATAAGTATCTTTGACACTATCTCTTGCTTACCAAAAAAATAAACCAATTTTGGTCTCTCCTTCAAAAACAAGGACTCCTGTTGGAGTTAGTCCCAAACTATAGTCATTCCCATCTCTAGCCTAATTTAAGGAGAGAAAAATGTGTTAGTTGTATTTATTTACTTTTAAACGTGTTAGCATAAAACAGGTTTCACATTTTTATACATCTATTTAATTTTATTTTTGTCTTGAATTATATTAATTATATCCAGGCTAATATTAATAACAAGATGTTTCCAAGATATTTAGAATAACCAAAGTGACATTCTCATAAAAATTTGTGTATATATTTTTATTGCTAGTCATTGAAACACTGTACTTTTAAGTACGTCTTCACTAAAAGTGGGCAGTTATACTCCTACTACAAAGAAAGTTTTTCCAGATTTCTTCCCATACTCTTATCACGTAAATCACAAATTTTGGAAAAGATGGTCTTTCTGGGAAACTTGCAAGTTAAACTAGAAATAACTTAAATCACTACACAAGCTGTTCTATAGTTTACCAATGTCCTCTCAAGCTATAAATTTTCAACTTTGCTTCCTGAATTATTTTAACAGAGCTACTAGCTTAAGTGATGTAAGGTAATTTTAAATGGAAAGGATAAAAAATGGCTTAAAAGCTTTAAGAAAAACAAATAATAGCTCAAAAGGACTGAGGTAGCTTTTTGGGGACTTTAACTATTTCTCTTGTTTCTTATAATAAATCTTTCTGTGATATTCCAGTTATCTGTATTTAATCTTAACCCTTTAACCACAAATCCAAAGTACTAAGCGCTAGCTTGTATTAATACAAACTCCATACCCTTCTGCATACTGAAAAATCACATAGTCATGAGTCCCCAAGAAATAAATTCTTTAGAGAGCATCAAAACACAGTACTTACCTTGACCACATGCATGTCAACCCCATACATTTCTAGCCATTTGGCTTTATTCAGATAATTGGTTTCAGCTTGTGCTGGTGTCTGACCTCTGAAATTTAAAGTATGTTAAATACAATAATTATAAAACAAATTCTATATCAAGGTTAGAAATAGAAGAAAACGAGTATGAGATAACTACTGAATATGAAATAGCTATGTTAAAGCATGATCAAATGCCAAGTACCTGTACTCCTTCCACTTCTCAAAAATAGCCAGTTCCATCTCTTCAGTCTGGATGGGCACAAACCTGAACTCAGAGACAAGTTCAGGACTATGCTCGGCAAGATCATAGTCACCAAGTTCAGCTACAAACATAAGTTTCAAAAAGTTATATTTTGTAAAAACTAGTTTATTGTCTGCTGAATCCTTCTTCAAAACCCATTTTTATTAATTAAAATCGCTAAGAAGATTAGAAAGATTCTTTCTTAAACTACAGGAATTAATAAAACCCAGACAATTCCCAAAACTAAAGCTAGCTTAGACTTATGACTTATTAGTCCACACATATAAATCACCTTAATTGCTGGTGGTATATTTTTAATTAAATGTTTTTCTCTTAATGTAGTTACACCTTAGTGCTTAGCTTTTTAAAACCACTTTCTAGACTTCCATAGAGAAATACCTTTTGATCTTATAAGAAATAAATGAAAAAATTTAGCAATCCTTAAAAGATAATTAGCTGGCATCTATTAAGAATATAACTAATATGCACAGAACATGACACCATATACCACTACAAGATATAGTCCTTGTCTTCCTAAAATTTAAAATCATTAAGCCTAAAATAACTGAAATAACTTTTAAAAATCAGGGGAAAAGGGAGCATGAAAAGAACTGACAACACACAAACATTTATATATTCATTTGTGGTCATCTCTTTTTTTTTTTTTTTTTTGAAAGAGTCTCACTCTGTTGCCCGGGCTAGAGTGCCATGGCATCAGCCTAGCTCACGGCAAACCTCAAACTCCTGGGATTGGGCGATCCTCCTGCCTCAGCCTCCCAAGTGGCTGGGACTACAGGCATGCACCACCATGTCCGGCTAATTTTTTCTATTTTTTAGTATAGACAGGGTCTCGTTCTTGCTCAGTCAGGCCTGTCTCGAACTTTTGAGCTCAAAGGATCCGCCCACCTCGCCCACCTCGGCCTCCCAGAGTGCTAGGATTACAGGCGTGAGCCACCACACCCGGCCCCATTTGTGGTTATCTCTAAACTAACTGTGGGTTTGGGGAGAAAAAGGCAAAAAAAAAATTCCAATTTTCTATACTTTTGAAATTTTTTCCTTTAAAAGAATATCTTACTTGTATTAAAATATTTCCATTTCGCCGGGCGCGGTGGCTCACGCCTGTAATCCTAGCTCTTGGGAGGCCGAGGCGGGCGGATTGCTCAAGGTCAGGAGTTCAAAACCAGCCTGAGCAAGAGCGAGACCCCGTCTCTACTATAAATAGAAAAGAATTAATTGGCCAACTGATATATATATATAAAAAAATTAGCCAGGCATGGTGGCGCATGCCTGTAGTCCCAGCTACTCAGGAGGCTGAGGCAGAAGGATCGCTCGAGCCCAGGAGTTTGAGGTTGCTGTGAGCTAGGCTGCCGCCACGGCACTCACTCTAGCCTGGACAACAAAGCGAGACTCTGTCTCAAAAAAAAAAAAAAAAAAAATATTTCCATTTCGATAAAAAAGAATCCAGTTGAGGACAGAAAAAATACATGAGAACCACCTTGAGATAACAAATAACAATGGTAATCACTCATTATTTATTGAGCACCCACTCTACACACATCATTTAACTTAATAGCAACCTTAGAAAATACATATTATCACACCCCATTGCCCTCTTAGCACAACCGGTAGTACATCAGTCTCATATTATCATACCCACTTTATTACTGAAGAAATTAATCTTTTGTCTGGACAGCAGTGTCTTTAAGGAGCACCCAGCCAGACAACTAGCCTGGACAATGTAGCCAGATCTCATCTCTACAAAAACATTTTAAAAACTAGCCAGGCATGGTGGCATGCACCTGTAGTCCCAGCTACTCAGAAGGTTGGGGCAGTAGGATAGCTGAGCCCACGAATTTGAGGCTATAGTGAACTATTTATTATATTATTGGGCCACTGCACCCCAGCCTGGACGACAGAGCAAGACTCTGTCTCTGTTTAAAAAAAAAAAAAAAAAAAAAAAGCACACCAAACTAAATCGGCTACATAATGTTGTTCAGAATATATATTAAAATGATAAAGAAAAATTGGGTTTGAAGTTGTGAAAAAGCTAATAAGAAAAATTATTCGGATAAAGTATCATAAATGACCAACAGGGAGCTCATTTTAATGAAGACAGGAATAATCAATCACTTTAGCAAATTTTTTCTTAAGGACCTTAACAATTAGTAGGATTTGGTAAACTATCAGACATCGGACAAAGGGATGCAGAAAAATAGTGGTGCCATGGATGGAAGAAAAAGTAGGAAAGAGTTTTTACTTGGAAACAGATTTAAGTGGGATTAAGAGAAAATAGAACAGAGTCACATGTATGAACCAAACAATAAGTATTATTGAGCACTACCATTAAGTTAACCTTTTGTTAAAATACACAAAAATATGTAAGTCCTATCTCCAAGAAGTATATACTTCTGTTGTCATGAAACACAATGAGGCACAGACAGAACATGAAATAGTAAGTGGTGTAACACAGATATTAAAAATGATAGCTTTTTAGTATATCTGAGAGGTTATAGAATTAGTGTCACAGAGGAAATAATATTATCTATACAATGGCAAATAAATACTACTAATCTTAGAGGGATTGGGAGTAAATATGAAATCACAAAAAATCCATAAAATTATTAATGTCTTGGTAATCATTAAATATGATTTTTATTTATTCTAGTTTTCTTTCATAGTGTCAATTTTTTAAAAATTCCTAAGTTTAACAGTATTTGTTCAATGTTATAAGGTACAAGAGTGAGTTTTTCATTAATTTCATTTATTAGAAAACACTTTAAAATGACCATCAGGAACTCTTAATTATGCTCCAATAATTCCCTCATGTATTCATTTTTAAGACTAAAGAAAGCATACGATATGGCTTCAGCAACAATTTACTCATATATTATGCATTTAAAAAAAAATAAGCTGAGGGCCCGACCATAACATTTACTGAATTATCAGGTAGACTGTAATTTTTGTTTGAAAATGCTATAGATGGAAAGAAAGCAACTAAACGAAAGGGAAGAAAAAGAAGGCAATGCTCTAAAACAAGTCAGAGTTGGATATTGACACAAAGTTAACACAAAAACAATGTTGTTTCTTTTCTTCCACATCATTTGAATCTTTTGAAATTCTTTAGCTAAAAAGACACAAAAAAGGATTATACTTTAGTCTTAACAGTAAGGGTGAGAACTGCTTACCCTGCAGATTATAAGCTGCCAGCTGCACTGCTGTATCAAAGGGACATTCTAATCTGGGACCAAAATACAAATTTGTTAGACAAGTCAATTTCATAACCTTCATTTTAAGATAAATGAAAATACATGCTTTATGTTGCCCATTTCTTTCTTATAACTATAAACTTGTTTTCAAAATTCTTCAACCACCAAACAAAATGTACAGTTTACCTTAAATAATACTCACTTTCCACTGAGAATATCTTGTTTTAACTGAAGAACAAATAAATACCTAAGAAAAATAAGACATAATTTTACTTAAACAATCTACTGTGAAAAAATAATCTTACCCTTCTAATTTGAGAATTTTCTTAATTATAAAATTTTACCCACAATGAAGTATATAAAGGAAAAATAATAGCAAAAAAAGGGCAATAGGCATCAGGAGGATGGAAGCATAACCAGCAAGGAATAGCAAGCCACAGAGTGTATACAGCACATCAATCTTAGAGAAAATGTTTAAAGAAAATTGTTGAAAAAGAGCTCTGCCATCTAATTTAACTTTACTCTGACAACACATCCATCTCTCAGGTGAAGGGATACAGGCATGGATAAAACTATGGGCAATAGCTCCAATCTCATCGTCAGGGTGTTCAAAAGGAAACCCTTCTGAAAAGACTCCAAAAACTCAACCTTTTCAGTTAATAAATAATATGTGCACATGGAGTCATGGATGTATAATAGAGTCCAGTGAAGAAATATCAAAGAGGTAGGATAAAAATAAAAATAAGTGCACAGAGAGTAATGTTTATTCAAAACTATTCAAACGAAACAAGGAGCTAATGTATTTCATTAATCAATGGCATTTCAATGAGTCACAAAAGTCAGGAGCCAACTTGAATAAACTCCCATAAGCCAAAGATTACTGTGAACATCAATAAACATAATATTCCAATTTACTAAAACACATCAATCCTGTTTAAAATCTATGAGTTGATAGCAATACTTAAAAAAAGAATTCAGTAGTCACCTTTGGAGGATGTTAGGGAACCAACTCTATTTTGAAAACCGATAAAGGAAAAGTTACACTTAAAACACTGTCCCAGAATAAAATTCTATTATCTGAAGTCTTGTTACCAGGGGCAAGGAATCCATTTCATTAGTTGTCTATAAATTAGAAACAATTCTAAAGAGAATCCTCCAAAACTACCAAAATACTCCTGCACAACTCTAAATAGTGTTCTTACCGGGTTAGCTCTTCACGAAGATTATTTGGTTCTGAAGAATAAAACTTAACTCGAAGATGCAGACAATAGGGTGAACCAACTGCCATTAGGGGGGAAAAAAGCTTTTATTAAAATATTTAAATAGCAATAATTTTCACCCAGTAATCTGTCAACAATCTACTGGAATGAGATAGAAGATAACAAGTTATTGTAGCGTCATTTCAAGTTAGATTACAGGCTTATACCTGACACAAAAAGATCAGTAGGCCTTTTTGAAATGTACCAACCATCATATAATACTATGACAATCATCTCTCATGCCAACAATAGATAGCTCTAGATTAACTCTAACAGTTCAGGGCCAAATGCATCAAATAAAAGTTTTGACTGTGTAATCTAAAAGCCCTGAAAACTTGCTGAGCTGTATTTCTTAAGAGCACTGAGGGCCGGGCATGGTGGCTCACGCCTATAATCCTAGCACTCTGGAGAGCCGAGGCGGGCAGATTGCTCGAGGTCAGGAGTTCGAAACCAGCCTGAGCAAGACCGAGACCCCATCTCTACTAAAAATAGAAACAAATTAATTGGCCAACTAAAAATATATAGAAAAAATTAGCTGGGCATGGTGGTACATGCCTATAGTCCCAGCTACTCAGGAGGCTGAGGCCGTAGGATCACTTGAGCCCAGGAGTTTGAGGTTGCTGTGAGCTAGGCTGATGCCATGGCATTCACTCTAGCCTGGGCAACAGATTGAGACTCTGTCTCAAAAAAAAAAAAAAGCACTGAGGAATGCCTGTTACTAATTGCTCATAGTGAATCTTCCCACACACTTTCAAATTCACTTCAGCAAGTTAACTAACCTCTATATTTTCAGTGGTCCCATTATTTTGTAAAGACAAGAGCTGAGGTAGCCTGAAAACTGATAGTACAGAGGACAAGCTGGATTAGGGACTGGAAACTAGTTTCCCCCAACTACTGCTAGGAATACTACTGACATTTTATGTGAATTGTTTCATTTCATTATCCTTAATTTTAAAATATTACAGTCTCATAATATTTTCTATAGCAGGGTAGATGCCAAACATAGCCAAAGAGGAAAATTCCAACAAAGTCAACCCATTTGTAAGCTGCAAGACTTTCTCCTGGAAACTTAAATCCCAAGGCACTTGAATCTAGATTAGTATCAAACCTATATAACTTGGGCAGTGGGTCAATAACATCAGAATAAAATGATTTTTAGAAAATACAGATACTAAAAAATTCCTCTGAAATATGATTTCTTATGCCCTTACCAAAGTTTCTAATATATTCAATTTCCTTTTATTCACAAATAATTTTTCAACACTTACTTTTTACTTGCTTTTTGATGCTTTTTGTACCATCCAACCAATGCTAAAAACAAAAACAAAAATTCAGTGATTAAGTAGATAACAGAACTTTAAATTTTTAATTATTATACTAAAAGTTACTTTTCATCATGTCTTTGTTAATAACCACAAGGAAATAGTTCACAAAAGAAAAATAAAAGAAAGAGAAGTTATTTGTCCAATATCCACAGCAAGCTTATGACACATGTAAACAAAAATCTGATAGGTGATTTCTTAAAACATTTCTTCTGCTCCTTCAGTAACAAGGTTGATATTCTAAATTTTGGCCTTAGTTTTCTCCTCAATGACTCTTTCAAAACTCTTAATATTAGAGCGAAAAGTACCCTCATATTATTCTGATTCATTTTTATAATAAAAATGTAAAATTAGCAGATCAACTAAAAATTACGTGAAATAACAATGTCATCTAAATTTTACAAAACAGATACTACTCAGTCACAAGTAGTACTCTTTGAAAGAGCCTCCAGGGTAAAAATTAGATTTTTCTCATAATCAAGGCCCTACCTAAATAAACCAATCTTTGCTCCTTTGCTTTACAAATAAAAAATGTTAACATTTTGACTATGAGACTTCTGGTTTCAAGAGTAATATTAATAGCCTTTTGATTTATGTAACCTCTTCACTCTGAAATGTCTATGACACAAACAGACTTAAAAACCACTTCCAGATACTTTTTCTTTTTTTTTTTCCCCAACCATTCTGCTCTTTTTTTTTTCATGAATCTCACATATACACAGAGGGGCATGCACATCAGTCGTCACATTTATCTCAATATACAGTGAGAGAAGAAATGTAGTAGCTCTTGAGTTTAGTGCAAATGTAAGAACTTACTCCGAGAGAGGTGACCAGCAGCAGAAGAGGTAATGAAGGACTGATTGGAGCTACTTTGATCACCTCTCTGGGGCTGGGTTCCTAATCTGCAAAGTGGGGCAACTGTCCTAAAATCACAATTCCAGATACTTTCACAGATAAATCACTCCTAGCTCACTTTTCATTATTAATCCCTTTATACTACACCAGGTCCTAACACTGACAGGATGCATTCGGCCAACTAAGATGTACATGACTGTGTTCTCTCCAGCATGCTTTCAATTCCAAGCACAAAAGAAGTGCTCATGTGCTAACTAGTTCACAGAGCCAAGGAATCCAGTTTCAGAAATCCAGATAGGCAAAGACTGAGTAAACAAGGCTGCATTGTTAGCAGACTTGTAGCTGTTCACTTTCCTTGCCAATTATTTGCCTGGCCTCTTCTCTCCATTCTCTCCCAAGACCCAAAAGTAAAACTCACAGAACTACCACTGTGCCAGCAGAGTACCTTTCCATATTGAAATAAGATGCTAGCAAACATTTCAAAAGACAACTAAATACTGCGCAATGTTTTCTCTAGATTCCAAATGTGTAGGTTACTTTGCCATCTCTTGTCTTTTAATAAATTCAGTTGTACATCTACTTTTAAGCATATTTCAATCACTCTGTTGCCCTGGCTAGATGGAGTGCTGTGGCGTCAGCCTAGCTCACAGCAACCTCAAACTCCTGAGCTCAAGCAATCCTTCTGCCTCAGCTTCCCGAGTAGCTGGGACTACAGGCAGGCGCCACCATGCCCGGCTAATTTTTTCTATATATTTTTGGTTGGCCCATTAATTTCTTTCTACTTTTAGTAGAGACGGGGGTCTCACTCTTGCTCAGGCTGGTTTTAAACTACTGACCTTGAGCGATCCACCCGCCTCAGCCTCCCAGAGTGCTGGGATTACAGGGCTGAGCCACCACGCCCGGCTGCAAATGTTGTTTTAAATACATCTCCAGGCCGGGCGTGGTGGCTCACGCCTGTATTCCTAGCACTTTGGGAGACCAAGGAAGGCGGATTGCTCAAGGTCAGGAGTTCGAAACCAGCCTGAGCGAGACCCCGTCTCTACCAAAAATAGAAATAAATTAATTGACCAACTAAAAATATATATACAAAATGATAAGAAAAAAAAATAAAATAAAAATAAAAATATATATACAAAAAATTAGCCGGGCATGGTGGCGCATGCCTGTAGTCCCAGCTACTCGGGAGGCTGAGGCAGTAGGATCGCTGAGCCCCGGAGATTGAGGTTGCTGTGAGCCAGGCTGACACCACGGCACTCACTCTAGCCTGGGCAACAAAGTGAGACTCTGTCTCAAAAAAAAAACAACAAAAAAAACACATCTCCATTAACAGAACACTAGGCCTGACAGTAGACAGAACATGATCCAATCTACTAGTGAAAAAGACTTCAACCTAGGACAGCAAATGGTCCATCCATCCTTGCCCAGCCCAGAAACCCAATATCCAAAAATCCCAGACTTAACTGACCTAAATACCTATTATAACTTCATGCCAAGCCTATACTGCCTATGAGATGAAACTAGTTTTCATGCCCCAGATTGTTTTTCCCCCAGAACCATGGACCTGGGAGTTGTCCTATCTGCTATGTCTGGTTACCTGGGCACTGTCTCATGTAACCATGGTTAAGGAGACTCTCAGACACCATAATAAGTGCATATGAGCCCAACCATCCCAGGAGGCAATTTAACTAAACAGTAGCTAATGCGTCAAAAATAAGTATTCATCTTCAACCCAACAATTCTACATCTAGAAATAATTAGCGATGTGTGTAGATTTATCTACAAGGAATTACATCAAAGAAAGTTACAATAATCTATATATCTAACAATAATAAATTGGTTAAAACAGTATTTCAGTATGACAGAGCACCGTAAAACTATTATAAAGAATGAAAGCATGTGGCTCACGCCTGTAATCCTAGCTCTTGGGAGGCCGAGGCGGGCGGATTGCTCAAGGTCAGGAGTTCAAAACCAGCCTGAGCGAGACCCCGTCTCTACTATAAATAGAAAGAAATTAATTGGCCAACTGATATATATATATAAAATTAGCCGGGCATGGTGGCGCATGCCTGTAGTCCCAGCTACCCGGGAGGCTGAGGCAGAAGGATCACTCGAGCCCAGGAGTTTGAGGTTGCTGTGAGCTAGGTTGACGCCACGGCACTCACTCTAGCCTGGGCAACAAGATAGCTAAAAAAAAAAAAAAAAAAAAAAAAAAAAAGAATGAAAGCAAATAGTTAAGAATCTGGAAGATTATTTATAATACATTGCTAAATTTTAAAGGACAGGTTTAAAAATATTATAAATTGTTTTCTCAAAATATACAAATTTGTACATACAAATACATATTTTCTTTCAGACTGAGATAATGTCTAACAAAATAGTAACAGATGTTATATCTATGTTGATTGAGGTTTCTGGAGACTCTTTTCTTCTTAGTGTTTTCCTATATTTTCCATTTACTCTACAATGAACCCATATGACTTAAAACAATAATGATGGACACACCCCTATTTTAATATTATATAGGTAATATATTTATATGGTTTTTCGTAATATTAAAATGTATATGGTCAACCATCCCACCTAATCCATGCCCTCCATATACCCACCACTATACCATATCTGATCTACCCCTCCTTCCCCCAAGATGTTATTATAGTTTCTCTTGATTCTTTCCAGAGTTTCTTCAAACAGTGAAGAGGAAAAATTTTTAATTGTGTGTGAATGTGTATGCACATGTGAGTAGAGTGAAGAACATTAACAATGGAATGAAAATCAATATGCTAATTGCAAACTTTGACAGAATATAAGGAAACATCAATATAAGATAGACCACTTACTATTTCAAGAACAATCTAAAGTCTCTCTCAGTTATACCTTAAATTTCTGCCTGTTCCAAACTGTCTAGGACTAGTCTCATAAATACACCTTTCTACTCTAATTTGTACCCTACTATCCTACTAAGAAGCACATTAAACACAAAATCATCCCAGTGAGAAAAAAACCAAAAACAGCATTGTCTTCCAAGCAGCCAGGCATTTTAGTCTCTTTCCTACCTGTATGCAATAGTTTCTAATATCGGTAGTCCTTTAAGACAACACAAAACTCAGACAAAGTCACAAACACATTTTAAAGTGAGATTTAAGAGCTGGGGGAGTTCTGGGTGACATTCTTCTGGGAAAGGTCTGAAGACATGTTTGCATATTCTCAAGTCTGTTTTCTTTCATCTCCTCCACATTCCAAGACCAGGGACTGGAAAATTCAGAGCTCAGAGACAGGCACTGATAACATTTTCCTTGAATCGGGGTCATTAGGAGTTGAGTTTAACTTACATTAGAAAATAAAGATGAGAGCATGCAGATATAGATTCTTGGGGACTAAGTGTGAAACAAATAAGATTCCCTTTCCTCATTATACCTTAAAAAGGAAACAAACTCCTTTTTTATTTCCTGCTTTTAATGTTTAGTTGATGAACAGGTATCAAAGGATGCAAAAAGCCATGTTTGCTTTTAGCCTATTGAGGTGGGCATGGGAAAACAGTTATTTACTTGTATACCTTAAAATATAAATAATATATAGTCATAAACACAACAGACAGAACTAAATCAAAGAATCACCTAGGGAGCTTCCAAAACACTAACATACACACACCCTCATCCCAAGCCCTACAGTCAAATAGCGGTAAACAACTCTTCAAATGATTGATTCCTCCTTAACCATATACACAGCCCTAGTAAAGAAATGCATCAGTATTCTTGGACAAAGGGCTTAAAGTAATGTTAACCATCTTTCAAAACTAATGCTGTTGCAAAAAATATTTCTTCTGTGAGTAGAGGTTTATGCTCTGAATTTTAAAATTATTTTAAAACAAATTTTAACATTTGAACAATTTTAACATTTTGAATAATTTTAATAAAATATTAAAAACCTATGCTAAGAAAACAGAGGACCGGCCGGGCGCGGTGGCTCACGCCTGTAATCCTAGCTCTTGGGAGGCCGAGGCGGGCGGATTGCTCAAGGTCAGGAGTTCAAAACCAGCCTGAGCAAGACTCCGTCTCTACTATAAATAGAAAGAAATTAATTGGCCAACTGATATATATATAAAAAATTAGCCGGGCATGGTGGCACATGCCTGTA